AAGTCTTAGAATTATCATAGTACAGCTCTTTTACCTCTTAGTTAAATATATCCTGAAGTATTTTATTCTTCAATTGTAAATGAAGAATTTCTTAATTTCTTTTTCTGATACCTTGTTAGTAGATAGAAATGCCTAGAAAGTATATAGTAGACAAATATCTAGATAGTAGATAGAAAACGGTTCTTAGAATATTGATTTTGTATCTTATAACTTTATTAAATTCCTTTATTATAATAGTATTTTGGTGGTCTTTAAGGTTTCCTGTATATAATATGTCATCTGCAAATAGAGACAATTTTACTTCTTTCTTTTATCTTTTTTTTTTTTTTGTCTTACCTACTTTTTCTGGCTAGTACTTCTAATACTATGTTGAATAAAAGTCCTAAGAGTGGACATCATTGTCTTATTCTTTTTTTTTTTTAAGATTTTATTTATTTATTTGACAGAGATTACAAGTAGGCAGAGAGGCGGACAGAGAGAGGGGAGGAAGCAGGCTCCCTGCTGAGCAGAGAGCCCGATGTGGGGCTCGATCCCAGGACCCCGGGATCATGACCTGAGCCGAAGGCAGAGGCTTTAACCCACTGAGCCACCCAGGCGCAGTCTTATCATTGTCTTATTCTTGATCTTAGAAGAAAAGCTTTCAGGTTTTCAAGAAACCATTCATTGTTGATGAATACTATGACATAATACAAATACTACGATAAAATACTATGACAAAATTCAAATAAAACAATGGTATCCAGGATCTTCTCATCAGCTATGCAAAACTATCTTTCTTAAGGGCTATCTTTGTTGCCCTGTCTGCTTTCCAAGAGCTCAGCATCTTTCTGCTGCCCCTTGCTTGCTCAGAACTCCTAGCCAAGGCTTACTTCGGCCCCTCTTGCTCTCAGCTACTTGTCATCAGATGCAGTCTTCTGTTCCTGATAGCTTCTGCAGGCAGGTTGTCCAGATTCCTTTCCACCTGAAGGGTGAGACTGAGCCTAAAGCATAAGGCTTTTAGCAGTTTCAGCATCTGTCCCCACCTTTTCTATCCTGACCACCACTGCTAATCCTACCCAAAATGTGGTACCTGGTGTTGACCACTGGGCTTTTACAGTGTGTCCCAGGTTGAAGCCTCCATCTGGTACATTTTGATATTAGGGCCCAACTCCTAATCTCTGGAAGTTTCAGACAATACATTTACTCCTTCAGGTAATAGAACGCGCTCATTTTTCTGAGTTCTGTCTTGTCAAATATCTGGCATGCCTATTCTGTCACAGAAATAGGCTCAGCCATGCAATGGCCAAAGCTCTTCTCAGGGTCCAGCTGATGCCTAGTTTTGGATATCTGCGGATGCCTTTTTATATCCTAAGCCTTCTCAGCTTTATCCAAGCAAATCCACCGTCCCTGTGTCCCTTTACTATAGGGTTTTGTTACCATTTCCAACTTGATGTAATCAGCCCCATCACAAAGAGAGTTTCCTTGTTCTTCCCACTCCCAGTAAATGTGAGAGTCCATGGTCTATGCCTTCTGTTATTAGAGATTAAGTGGGCAAAATCTATATAATCTTAGAAATGGCATTCACACTTTCACCTCACTGATTTCCCACTCAAGAATCCATGACCAAGAACATCTCAGCTCAGTGCCCTCCTTTACAACTGCTTTGTTAACCTAGGAATGCAGTTTTAATGGCAGCCCCATTGACAAGGATTAGAGGAGGATTGGGGGATTTTCACCACTTCTTGAATCATTCTACATGAAGTTCATTTCACCTGCAGGTAAAATAGTTTCTTTTCCCCTAATTTATGTCAGGTTAAGGAGGAAGGGAACTCAAAGGACCTTTCAGAGGAAAATTAAGTAACAAACAAAGGCTGATTAGAAAGCTTTTTAATGGGTACCAGAAGCAATCTTTCTTTTTGTGCCTCAAAAATTGTCATTATCCCTGGGATTAAAATCTGGTAAATATTGACCATGAGCCAATATGAGAGTTGTGAGGCTTAGGGAAATGCCTTTGTCTTATCAAAAAAACAAGAACAAAAATCCACATGTATTTTCTTAAAGGTTGCATTTACTCTTTTTTTTTTTTTTAAGATTTTATTTATCTATCTGACAAGGAGAGAGAGATCACAAGTAGACGGAGAAGCAGGCAGAGAGAGAGAGAGAGGGAGGCAGGCTCCCTGCTGAGCAGAGAGCCCGATGAGGGGCTCGATCCCAGCACCCTGAGATCAAGACCCGAGCCAAAGGCAGAGGCCCAACCACTGAGCCATCCAGGCCCCTGCATTTACTCTTTTAATCAATACAGAAACAAAAGAAATAATCTAGAATTGAATTGAGTCGAGGGTAAGTATTCCCAAAATAGGGGTGCCTGGGTAACACAATCAGTTAAGCTTTCGGCTGAGGTTGTGATCTCAGGATCATGAGATTAAGCCTTGTCTGGGGCTCCATGCTTGCATGGAGCCTGCTTATCACTTCTCGGCCTTTTGGCTAAGATCAAGTGTAGCGTGGAACCTGCATGAGATTCTCTTTCTCCCTCTCCTCCTTCCCCCGCCAGCTTGCACACATGCACATGTGTGCATGCACTCTCTCTCTCTCTAAAAAAAAAAAAGTACCCCCAAAATATAGGAATATTTTTTTCTATTCATAATGTCATAATTGGTAAATCTTTCTTTTAAAGTGACTGTGCTAGCTCAGTTGGTCTCAAGGCTTGGAGACCCAAAGCCTTACTTTTTATCCCAAATATTTGGTAACACTTGTACTATTCTAAAACAAAGTTTACAGATAATATAACCCTCCTACAATATTATATAGTGTTCTAACTGTAACATAAATGAATAATGAAGGAGAAAGTTGTTTATAATAAAGTAATATATATTTTAATGTATAAATGCTCAGAGATGTTCACAAAGGGAGACAAATTAGGCCGTCTGATGTTAGCACCTACATCTAGTATCTACCTGATTACCACAGCTACAAATATTGTTTACAGGTATGTTGTGTATTTTAATGCCACAGATGGTATTGACATTGATGATGTGCTTTTCCAAAGGAATGAACAACTCTTGGTAAAGTTCTGAGGAAAACAGAATAAAAACTTTCCTCCATATCCCTAGTAGCTACATTTTCAGAAAATTCATAAAATTAAAGCCATACCAAAAATACTATGTGTTTATGAAAACTGAATAAAACCTGACTAATTATTATGAGCATATGTTTCCTTTCATAAATGTTTGGAAGAACATTCAAATACACAACAACACCTGGTAATTATTTACTATGCAGAGAGCTGTGTGCAAGGCAAGATGCCTAGTCTCTGGTCCCAGCAACAAAATGCCATAGTACACTCGAATACTGCATCTCTGTATTTTGGGTAATATTTCGTATAGATCCGAAGAAATAAGCCCTTGATTATAATATATAATAATATAGGGAAAAGCATAATCGCCTGAGCTCAACATATGTAGAATCTGGAAGAGATTATAATATAATTTACAAGCTAACAGATAGTAAGACACATATATAAGAAGAGAAATTTGATGTAATTTCCAAAAATAATTGTTTAAGAATGTTAATATTTTACTATTTATATCATTCTATACTATTATTATATTTTACTATTTATGGGTATAACAAATTTCTTAAAATTTTTATAGGTCTTAGAAATTTTCTTACAAATGTTGCAAGTCAAAATGAGAAGAAAAAAACTAAGAAACAATGGGAAAAGGACAAATAAGAAATTAGGGAAATATAACTTAAAAAAGGAAAAAGGACATAAATTTTAAAACAGGAAAATTTGGGGAACAAGTCTGTGCAGCATGTTGTTCCTTTCTTCCTCTAAATTAATTTCTATGACTCAACAATTTTAGTGATTAGAGAAACTCAGGGATATTTCTTATCCATCTGGTAAATTTATGGATCCATAGATTATAACAAATTAAGAAAAAAGGTCTTTAAATTCCAATCCCTCATTTTTCTGGGAATTTTTTTTTTACCTTAATTCATTCTATTCTATTCTTATCATAAATTGCTTTAGTTCTGAAGCATTAGGTATAAAACTGGATCGGTTCCTTGTAAAGTTTCAAAATTGTGAAACTTTGAGGGATATAGTAGAAATATGGGCAGGAAGGGAAAAAACCCACAAGCCTATGTATCAACTTAGTAGTCTAACTAATCTCATAGTCTAAATTAATTGTTCTATATTTCTTCAAAATATATATTTCTATATATTTCTTCAAAAGTTCTTTTTTAAGAATATTGTTTTTATTTATTTAAATACTCATTACCTTAAGGGGAGAAGGAAACTGTAAAGAGTGTAACATTCTGTTTCCAAGGTAAATCTAAATTAACTGGCCCAAGACATGTAAAGATTTTTCAAAAAGCAGAAAGGGAAAAATGTAATCACTTCCCTCAGGAACTCATTTTCATGCCTGGCAGCATATTGGTCAGGAACATTCTTTAACTTATCATTTCACCCTTATTTAGTAAGATTGAAATGATCTTAGTTACATTGTTATTAATTTAGTTACATTGTTACATTTAGTTATATTATAGATTATTTAGTTACATTTTAGTTACATTGTTTAGTTTAGTAAGATTTAAATGATTTTTAGAGTTATTGAGGATGTTGATCCCATGTCCTTAAACTTGACCTCTCAAAGAACTAATTTGGATAACCTTGTTATAGCAGAAGGTCATAAGGACCTGTTTCTCTTGATTTTTAGATAAGTGACTTCCCACCAAAATTATGATAATCTAGAAAAATTTCTTCCTGTTCTCCCCCTTTATCTCTTGTTTGTCAGGATGGAAGTTGGATGGATATCTTATCTCATCAGCAAACTGGTGTTTGTATCTTTGGGGCTGATTTATTGCCAGGGTTCATTTACCTCAGGTTAAGTGGAATGAAAAGAACTAGAGGGCTGAATCCAATCCAAAGCCCAAATAAGGTCATGTTCCAAACTGATGAAATTAAACTAAGCTGGTGAAGCTCAGAAACCATTAGACTCATGGTGCCCAGATAGGCCAAGTAGACTTTTTATATAGGAAAATAATGCAATATTGCAACTCCAGGTGGACTAAACATCACTAGTTTTTCTATATGCATCATTTAGAGGTGGTAGGGATTAAATAAGGACTGGAATGAACGCTCTAACATTTTATAGTCCTTTTGAATGGCCACATTATGGCATGGCTTTAATCAAGTAATGAAATAACCCTTCCTACCTCTCTATGCCCATTTCTACTCCCAGTATAAAAGAGTGCTGAATACTGAAGTTTGTGGCTAATGGCACAAGAGGCAATTCCATAGGTCAATTATCTTTTGCTTACAGTGGCTTCCTCCAAGAACAAAGAGCAACAAATCAAAGCAGCTAATTGCTGTTACACTCAAGAAGATTTCATTATAAAATGCAGCAGTGTCATTACAGTCACGTGAGTTTGCCACCGTGTACAAGTAATAGATCCTAAAGAAGTGGTAGGGAAGGAAGCAAACAAAGATGACTCCTATAAAAAATAGGTTTTTCAGCTGGGCCCAGAACTCCTGGTGGGATAGTAAGGAGTGGCGTAGCTTCCGCACCATTGACATGATGATAAAGATCTGGAAGACGAGGAGAGCCACCGCAGTGGCTATGACAGCAGTAACTATCATATAGTTGATGACTCGCACATATACACGATCAAGCTCTTTGTGGAATTTAAAACAGTGTTGCTCATCGTACTCCTGGTGAGTTCCATACTGAGACGCAAACACAGGTACCACGATGACAATCACCAGCAGCCACATGCCGGTACTGGCAGCCACAGCATGCAGCTTTCTGTAGAATTCCACTTTGTCCTTGTGCTTGAAGAAGATGAGGTACCGAATGACCAAGATCACCACATAGAACAGGAATGTGAGGTACATATGGATGTGTAGCATGGCACTCACAAATTTGCAGAAGGGCAACCCAAATATCCAAGTTTGCTTGATGAGATATGTCAAGCGAAAAGGCACTGTCAGCAGAAAAACGCTGTGGACCACCACCAGGTTAACAACTGCTGTGGTAGTTACAGATCGGGTGTTCATCTTCACCAGCAGGAACAGAATGGAGATGATGCCCGCCAGCCCTCCAATGAGTACGAGGAAGTAGAGCCTGGTTAAATGGGGTGTCAGTATAGGACTGCAGGATGAAACGTTGTGGTGAGCCATACTTCAGAAGTCACCTGGAAGAGACGAAACACCAATGTAACTGACAAATTTCCAGAGCTTTGTTCTTATCTCTTTCTTAGCACTAGCAATGTGATTTTGTCATTTATCTATTTACATGATGTAAACTTTATGTTTCTTAAGAATAAAGACTATGTCATATGCATATCTGTATAATCGAGACTGAAAACATAGTCAGTTATTGATTCTGAAGCATTAATAAGTTAAAGACCTCATCGAGAGGCCCCCAGAGACACGTGTGTGTGCGCATGCACGCATGTGACTGTGTGTTTGTGTTTGTGTGTTTATACATACATAGTCAAAACAGTTTGCATAGGGATGCCTGGGTGGTTCAGTGGGACTGCCCTCAGCGCAGGTCATGGTCCCAGGGTGCTCTCTCTCTCAAATAAATAAATAAAATCTTTTAAAAAAGCAGTTTGCATAAAACTAGATTGCAGAGCATATGAAGCTGATACATGGATACTAGTACTGCAATGGCCGGTGGTGGGGGGAGGACTACAACATGGAAGGAAAGCCGGATGTATGTGTTAAGTACACAAAATGTTTTTTTAAGTATGATTCTAATTCTCTAATTCCTTTCAACTCATCAGCAAATGATTTAAGAATATACATAACTCATTTAGAATACTGATTAATTTGGCCAAAGAAAATTAGCTAAGTCAAAGCAACTACAATCAATAGGAGTGTATATTTGAATTTCTTGTCATAGTTTTGTTTTCATCTAGCGTGAGACCTTGGCTAAGTTTTCATGGGTCCCACTGAAAATGCAGCACATCTCCCAATTCTCCTATTCCCACACCCTCAAATTCATAAAAAAACCGCTATCGTTTTTCCTCTGGAAATATCCTTTCCCTAAATAGTCTTGGTCCCTTCTAACTAATTATCCACATTCTAATTTATTATTTATTAAGTGAAAGATTTAGTAATCTTTTAATTACACTGAACAAATCCTTTCATTTTCTTATTTAAATCCCTTCAGTGACTTCCCATTTCTTTTACGATTAAAAAATCCTTCCATGCCTAGAATGTTCTGGGTCATAGCAAAATCTGATCCCTTGAGACCAGATTCAAGAAATATTGTAGAGGTGGGGCACCTGGGTGGCTCAGTCAGTTGAGCATCTCACTTTGTTTGACTGGGTCATGGTCTTAGGGTCCTGGAATCAAACAATGCATCTAGCCCCACATTGAGCCCAGAATCAGGTTCCGTGCTCAGTGTGGGGAGTCTGCTTGTTCCTTTGCCTACCCCAACTCATCCTCCCTCTCTCTAATAAATAAAATCTTAAAAAAAGAGAAAGAGAATCTAGAGGTGAAATTGACAGAATTCAATGGATTGTATATGGGGAAACGAAGGGAAAGAAGGTATCTCAGTCACTCCTAGATTTCTAACTTCAACAACTGTGTGATCAGAAATCTGCTTACTGACAACAGGGAGGCTGAGGATCTAATTTGAGGAAGAACAGTAGTTGAATTATATTCTTAGTACCTTTGTAACACATTTGCCATTAGTTTTACTCACTTCATGAATGTCTCTTCATATAATCAAAATTACCCAGCAAGAAAAATGAATCACTGATGAATCACAAAAGCATTATACTTGCATACATGTAAATCACGTATTCTCAAAAGTGTGTTCTTGAGGTGTGGAAAAAAAACCACCTCACTTTCTAAGTATAAAACATATACATAAGCACATAAATAGAGTATATCTGTGGTATTAAAATTTCATAAGGAGGGGGAAAACAGGGAACAAACGGCTTAAAAAGGCTCTTTTTGAGGGAGATAATTTTAAAAGTTAAGAAACTGTGCTAAATAAAAGATGCTAGCCACAAAAAGCTACATATTGTATAATTTCTTTTTCTAGAAAATCAAAATTACTGAGACAGAAGATCAGTCTAGCCCAGGGCCTACATTGCAGGGGAAGGAATTGACTTCAAAGGGATATGGGAGAATTTATGGAGGGATGGACTGTTTTATATCATGTTGGTTACAAGTCTAGTTATTTGTCAAAGTTTATCAAATTGCACACTTAAAATTGTTGAATTTTCTTGCATATAACTTCTCGATAAAACTAATTAAAAAATAATAATAATAACCTGACCCCAGGGAAGCCCTGCTTTTGTGGGCATGGAATAGAATTTCCATATAACCCACTTAAAAGATTGCTTCATGTTATATCTATTGTATGTGATGTCTAATCTCTGTATTTTCCCCTTTGAAAAGTAGTTCCTCTAAGTAAACATGTAGTTATATTGTGTCTATATCTGTATTAGGGGTGAATGTGCCATCAAAGTTCTGTCCATCATTTTCTCTAGCTATTGAACTAGAATCTGGACTGACTTCTGAAAGAGAAAGGTATAGTCAGTTGCATATCATCTGTCTCAAATCCTCTTTCTTTCTTATAAACTGCCGTGATCTCTCTGTAACAACCAAGCCTAGTTCCAGACATTCTAAGATACTTTGTAAGATATTACAGAATATAGATACCTTCTGCTTCAACCAGCTAAAGCAGACAACCTGCAATTAACAACCTGTTCAGAAGTAACATGGTGGGTTTTTTTGTTGTTGTTGTTGTTTTGGGGTTTTTTTTAGGGGGGGGTGCACATGTACATGTAGAGTTGGGGCAGAGGGAGAGAGAGAATCTTAAGCTGGTTCCACACTCAGCATGGAGCCAATGTGAAGCTCAAGATCATGACCTTGAGATCATGACCTGAGCTGAAATCAAGAGTCAGATGCTTAACCAACTGAGCCAAGCAGGTGCCCCAATTATTTTTTAATAATGGAAAGGGTGAAATAATGGTGAAAAACCACCTTGACTTTATTAAACATATTCTTGATAGAGCGTCATCTGGATCTAATCCAGTAACTGATGTCAAGATCCCAGAAATAAACTATAGACCCAGAGCAAACTCTCCTAAGGGAATGGGAACTGTCTTCCTGTTTCTCCATGAACCACCTTGCCTTGGCAGGGTTCTCTTCTTTGTCTGTGACTAACCCCTGAAGCTCAGCAAACTGGATGCAAATTCAGTTTCCCTCTGCCCTCTTTGATTGCCCTGCTTAAAATCCTTCTTTAGTTGTTTTGGCACCCACCATGTCTTACAAGCCCTTTGCAATTTGACCCCAACTTATGTTTCAAGGTATCCCTTGAAGGTAGCCCACCACTACCTCCATTTCCTCACCCTCATCCTTTGTCCTGGATTTATAGACCTTCATGCCTTTCCTACAATATTATTTTTCAAACCTCTGGGTTTCTTCTCTCTGTAGACACCAAATGTACAGGTAGACTCTGAGGCTGAAGTCCAAATTCTATAATAAATGATTTTATGTCTCTTAAAAAACTTCCCCTGGTCTCCCATTGTCTCTTGGAGATGTGTGAACTTCTTAGTGTGCCATGCTAGATCCTTCCTACTGGCTTTTGTAATTCTCTATCTAGCCTCTCTGCCACCAGAGCACCAAGACTCCCCATCCTGCCTGAATGATTTCTTCATTATTCTGTTCTGACCTCAGCCTATGTACTGCAGAGCTTCTCAGCTTAGCCTGTGGTTTGGCTGGGGGCTATTTCTATGTGTCTTGGCAGTTCCTTTCCCAATGCTTTGCCCATAAACTTGCTTGGGCCTCCATGGTCATTGCCCCTGGCCCTAGGACTACCTTAATATCAGATGTGAGACATGGAAGTGGCTTCTTTAGTTTTATAAGGAATCCATGGTAGAGCCAACATCAGAGACCAGTCTACAAAGTGAGAGTCCTAAGAAATTTGTAGAGTCCTACCAAATGGCAGTAAGCAGTCCATGTCCTCATGAGAGCATAATACCTTAGGTCCCTTATTTCTAAACAGAAAAGCAGCTACAATCAACTTGGGATTTTTCATTTTGTTATTAAGTAAGTCATGTCAGTGCGTCTTTTGTATAGCACACAGTGAAGATTCTGAGACAAAACAAATCCCTGCATTTAAATCTCTTTTTGTCTGATAAGGGAGGAAGAGGTAAATAAATTATTTACAACATCTATAGGTATATAAAAAATGCCAAAATAACTCAGAAAGGGGAATAATTAACAGACAGTAGAGAACGAACATGTCAGAATGTAGTGGCAATAGAGTAATTCTTGGGCACATAACTGGTGCTGGAACTTAAAGGATGCTTTGAAGTTCCAGATGCAGAGAAGGAGAGAGAGAGTACTCCAGGTATAGACAAGAGTCTGAGAAAAAGCATGGATGCATGTTCAGAGAATTACCTATAGTTTTATATACCTGGAACATTAGGTAAAGGAGTAGAACACAGGTGAATGTCTGTAGATGTAGATGAAATGTACCAGATACATAGCATGTTGCCACTCTGAGGATTTCTTATTTTATCCTGAAAATTATAAGAGATGCAAATTTTAAAATATAAAATGCCATTTAGTATTTCAATTCCAAAAGCTGTGTTTTGGTTTTACTGGGGAAAAGATTAGTGGAGGGCAAGATAAAAAGAGTGATGCCATTAGCAGGCTATTGTGCTGATTAAGTTTAAATATCATAAAGATTGGTGCAAGTTGGTACCACTTCAGGGAATTTGACCCCAAAGTAAACAAAATCAAAGACTCTGGGCTTGGAGAAACCAAAAAATGCGAATTTAAACTGTTGGTGAAAATTAAGAATGGTCACTTGGTGAGTAGAAGTTGGTATGGCTTATAAATTATAAGGGAAAATGAAATTCAGTAAAGCCAATAAATCTAAGCAAAAGAAGGAAGGAAAAAATAAAGCAAACTAAGAACATGGTAAATAGATAAGTTTAAAAAGGAAACAAGTCCAGGGGCGCCTGGGTGGCTCAGTTGGTTGGACGACTGCCTTTGGCTCAGGTCATGATCCCGGAGCTCCCGGATCGAGTCCCGCATCGGGCTCCCGGCTCCAGGGGAGTCTGCTTCTCCCTCTGACCTTCTCACTCATGCTCTCTCTCACTGTCTCTCTCTCAAATAAATAAATAAAATCTTAAAAAAAAAAAAAAAGGAAACAAGTCCA